GGGCCCATGTGCCCCCAAAAAAAAAAACCCCAAAAAAAAAAAAAAAAAAAAAAAAAAAAAAGAGAGAGAAACACTCTAGACGCCGTGCCCAAGTACGGACGACGGGATGGGGAAACAGAGAAGGGGCCCGAGCGTGACCCCGTCCTACAGCGGGGCTGTCTCTCTCTCCCACACTCCAGTTTGCGCTCACGCTCTGGCAGTCTGAGAAATGAGACAGAGCCCACCACTGCCCCCGGTGAAGCCCGGGCTCATGCAGGCGAGCGTCAAGGGCCGTCCAGACGGAGGGCCATGAGGGGACCAGCTCGCGGAGCGTCGCCATACCACGGCCCTGGTGCTGCCGAGCCCTGGTCCAGCCCGAGAAACGAGTGGCCTCATCCTGCAACCACTGGCCAAGCCCCCAGGGAGACTGGCCCAAACCGTGGCGCAGGAGGGGACACCAAGGAGGCTCGACACTGGGTCCTGCTGAGAGGACAGCTCGGTGTGCCAGGCCTGGGGTGGACAGTGACGCACCCGTCCTTCCCGACCTTCGGGGCAGGCCTCAAGAAGACCGACGCCAGTCACACGGCTGTCCTTTCCCAGGGAGGAGCTGGGTCCCCACATCCGGGCCAGTCACCGGGTGGGAAGCGCACCGGGTGGGGCGGTGTGGATCCTACCAAAGCTCGCGGCGCGGCCGGGGCCCCGGGGTGCCCTCCAGAGGCCCGTCAGTGTGCCCCAGCCAGACTTACTGAACTGCGGAGGGGCGCCATAGCCCTGGGGGAAGCCCTGAGGCGGGGGGAAGCCTCCGGGAGGCGTGGACACGATGTAGGAGGTGAATGGCGGTGGTGGAGGGGGCGCTCCTCTTCCTGCAGGGGGCGGTCCGTAGCCACCTGGGACAGACCGGGAGGGTGAGGGCGGAGCCGGCCCCAGGGCGCTGCCCGAGGGTGGGCGACCACTCCTCCCACTCTTCTCTGCAACAGGGACTTACCAATGGCCTGTCCTGCTGGCACCCACATTCCTAGACGAGAAGACAGGAGGGTTGGTGCTGGGCCTCGGGGCACCCGGCATACGGGGGAGGGAGGGGGCCCAGGGTGAAGTCTAGGAGCTGTCCCCGAGCCTGACCGCGAGCCTGGGCCAAAGCCGAGTCCCGACACACCGGTCGCTCAAGTTGAGGCAGGAGGCTGGGGAGCGACCTGCAGACTGGGGCTGCCCTGGCCCCGGAGGACGTGCACACGCGACGGCAGGTGACGACTCACCCGCAGGTCACGGCACCCCTCGCCGGCCCGGGGCTGCCAGGTCCCCCCGCCGAGCCTGGCACCGCTGTGGGTCCAAGAGGGACGGGATGCGTGCGGGCACCAGGTGCCCTGGGACCCCTGCGTCGGCACTCGGCCCCTGGGAGGCCAGGCCCCGCCGCGTGTCCAGCTGGCGCCCCGCCCCGGGCCCCCCCGGGCGC